CACCACCTGCAGGGTTTGCTGCTGCACTCCTGGTCCCGTCTTAGCCTGGCTCTTGCTGTGTGGCCCAGGCTGGCCTTAAACCCGCGAGCACCTTGCTTAGCCTCTTGTGCGCTGGAATCACAGCCATGTGGCACCACACCCACCCCCTTTCCTTCTGCTGAGAGAATCCCAGTTGTGTTTGGGGTGACAGTATGCTTCCCCACATACCCTTTTTTCTCGTCACACATTACTTTGGACATAGTGTGGTCAGGGAAGCCTAAGTGGGTGTGAGCTGGAAGTGATCTCCTGAGGAATCGGGACGTGCAAGCGATGCTGTCGCTGTCGTGTCACCTGCCCCTACCTTGGATGCGGTGGGGCTTCAGCAGTCTTGTGATTGTAAGAGGAAGGCAAGAAGATGATATTGACCGTTCTTTTGAATCAGCAGACAAAACTGGATGTCAGGCTTTTTATTATGGGTAGGATGTTTTCTGTTACTTATAAACATTGTGAATTGCTTTGTGTGCTTGTTCCTTGCAGCAAACTACCACTAATTAATATAAACAATGTCACCGCTGATAGAAGGAAAGAACTCTGTGAGAGGTGGGCTAATTTGGGGAGGAGGACATGATTATTTTACTTTGATCAATTTGAGTTATTTTAAAATTTGACCTACAAGTTTCTGAGATGGAGTAGTGAGAAATGCAGGGCATGAGCATCGTTCAGGCAGCGTGTGCTGCCCCTCTAGTTGAGTGTGTATTTTCCGTGTGCACTTTGATTATACGCTGTGTGCTGCTGAGTGTTGTACATTTACACGTAATAAACAGGGTCGTGCACACGAGATCACACACATCACCGTTTAAACAGTGGGAGGGCTTTCCACGTTGATCTCGACTGTTTGATTTTCACATTATGGGCTGACTTTAGAACCTCACCCTACAGGGGATGTCATTCTGGCCAGTGTAGTAGACGTAGACCGCATGGGGACAGGCTGCTCTGTAGCAGGCACAGGTGTAGTGGCAGAGACAGGTAGAAAAGGCTGGGTTTGGAGAAAAGAAGTCAGCTTTTGATTGTTTCTGTTCTTTCTTGCAACTACCAGCTTTATGGTAGATACATTGCTTACCTTCTGTCCTCCAGCCCTTTCCTTTGTAAATTCTGCAACCTGTCAACTCAGGACATAGGAGAGTGTGATAAAATATTTGATCCCCTGAAAAGAAATCCCTGATTTACTTCTTAGGTAATAAAGCAGTGTCAGTGTATCGCCAGCAATGTTATTAAAATAGCAGAGTTGAGCCTGCCTTCTGCTGTGTATGTCCTTCTGTGGCTGGGTATAGCTTGGGGCAGAGCCCCTGCCTTGGACATGCGAGGCCCTGGGTTCGACCCCAGCACCACAAAAAAAAAGAGAAAAAGAAATCACCTTGAAAACAAACATGGAATAATAAGTTTGGTTATCTTAAAATTAAAAAAAAATTATTTTCTGTAAGTGAAAAAACTACATGTTAAAAGGTTTAGAAAATAGAAATGTAAGAAAAATCATCACTAAGTCTTCATTTAATATTTTGGTGTATTTCCTTCCAGTTTTTTCAACATACATATTTAAATTTTAATATAATTGAGATTGTGTTATAAATTTCTTTTTTATGATTATGTAATCAACATTTCTTTAAGTTATTAAATAATTTACATTATCTTTTTCTTAATAATGGCTTAATTGGTTATATTCCATGTCATATACATAACTAATTTAGAATTTTTTGTGTCTATATTATATCATCTATTATGGAAAACTAAGATTTTCGCATTATAGCCATTGTTGTAATACTGAAAAAACACTGAAAACTTCATTTTTTTCCTTTCTTTCTTTCTTTCTTTCTTTCTTTTTTTTTTGGTACCGGGGATCAAAGTCAGGCCCCTGCTCTTGCCGAAGAAAACCTTCATTTTTTTTATAACCTTTCAGAATCAAAATTTCAAATCAGTGATCAGTTTTCAAAAAAAAAGAACATGAGAAAACATTGTTGATGTGGCTCTCAGGTACGGGAAGCGTCTGAGCATTGCTGAGGTCTCATGGCCCAGTACCTCACTGCTTGTCTTTCTCTGCTGCTGCTGCTGCTGCTGCTGCTGCTGTGTCATCTGTAACAACCGCGTCGTCATTTCAATTCTTTGGTTCTGAATTTGCCATTTAGAAAAGGAGTGAACCAGTAAAATCTCCGTTACATTTACATTTAAAGTATATTACATATATTTTAATCCTATGTTAACTATTCATTAATATGTTTCTAAGATACTTCAGTTTTTAGAACTTTAGGTTCATAGAAAATTGAGCAAACAATCGAGTTCCTGGGGACCCCCTTCCCCTGTGTGAGTGTTGGGCCTGGTTACCCTCAGTGAGAGCTGGTGGCTATGTCATTCCCGAAGCCCGTGGTGTAGGTAGGAGTTCACTCCGTGTGTTGTGCCTTCGGTGGGCTTGGACAGTCAGGCAGACACAGTATCTACCGGTGTAGCACCATCGAAGGGCTTCTCTGTGTCTTTTTTTTTTAAGTACCTGGGATTGAACTCAGGACCTTGGGCTTGCGAGGCAGGTGGCAGAACCACTGAGATAAATCCACAGCCTTCTGTATGTCTTTCGATGGTTTCATAGCTTGTTTTTTTTTTCAGTACCTAATAATGTTTCATTATTGGAGTGTACCATAGTTTATCTTTAAAAGTATTTTAGGCTCAGGAAAATTGGAAAAAGAATAATTCTCATAGCTTAGGTGCCCAAGGAGGCCTCCATTGTAAGAGAGTTTGCAAAATGTAGGTGCATTTTATAATTAAAGGGTAAAGGTTTCCTTTCCAACACTTCCCTTGGGAGCACAGATTTGATTCTTATATTGATGAGCAGTTTAGTTCTGTACTAATAAAACCAAATGACCTTTTGATCTTGGAAGGAAGGACAAAGAGATGATATTGTTAGCTCTGCTACGCTGATCTGAAAGTGGTAGTGTTTGGGTACTTGCCTGTTAGACACTGGATTCTACAGGTGACCTTAGGTGATTATAAAATGACCAGCAGTTGCGGACAGTCTTCCAGCTCTTGACCCCAGGGAAAGATGCATTGTCAAATACTTCTCCCCTTTTTGTAGGATATAAATAAAGTAGAAGCGTGACATTATAAGATGATTTGTATCATTTCTAGTTTTTTTGTTCTTGATTGTTTTTAAATGGTTTATTTCCATGAACCTACAATATATATTTTATATTAAATGTGTCATTGAACTGTTTTTAATCTAACATTGCTTCTGTATAGGTAAGCCTACCTATTTATTTTAGCTGTGTTTCAAGAGAATCTATAAATGTCATATATAAGAACTTGATGATCCTACAGTTGAATGTTGACATTTGGAAGAACTTAGTTTTATCCGTGGAATTACTATTTTAAAAATTTATATTTAACTGATTAATGATGCATATAAGTACTGTTGGTATTTTTTCCACGTTCTGTGTAATTCACACAAACTTTTCAGATTGTTTCTATATGGTCCTGATTGCCAATAGAAAAGTTTCTTTCTGTCAAAACATTCTTCACTCACAGTTTTTTGTTAATTTTTAATGAAAAAATTTTGTATTTATTTATGTATTTATTTTTGCTTTTTTGAGACAGGGTCTCACTGTATAGTTGAGTCTGACCTGGAGCTCACTATGTAGCCCAGGCTGGTCCCAAACTCACAGTGATCCTCCTGCCTTAGCCTCCCGAGTGCTGGGATTACAGGCGTGTGCCACCATGTCTGGCTTAATGAAAAAATTTAAAAATTAATAGAACTTATTATGAAGGTTCAAAATTGCTTAGGGTATTTTTGAACTCCAAGTTTACAGGCTGTAAAGGCTGCGGGTAGCCCCACAACATTCTGAGTGTTGCTTATTCTACTGTCTGATTGGAACCAGGCTGGTCAAACTCACAGTGATCCTCCTGCCTTAGCCTCCCGAGTGCTGGGATTACAGGCGTGTGCCACCATGTCTGGCTTAATGAAAAAATTTAAAAATTAATAGAACTTATTATGAAGGTTCAAAATTGCTTAGGGTATTTTTGAACTCCAAGTTTACAGGCTGTAAAGGCTGCGGGTAGCCCCACAACATTCTGAGTGTTGCTTATTCTACTGTCTGATTGGACTTTAGGAGGTACCGTGTCCTGTTGGGCAGCTTGTAGCGCTGGTAGTACAAATAGATCTGATCACTTGGATCAGTTATTTTAGTAATGAAAATTAATAAAAAGCTGCCCCGTGGGACAGTCATGCATGTACCACTTGTGCTCCAACGTGCCTGGAAGTGAGACATACGGATGCAGCCCTTTTGTGAATGTGTTACTGTGTACAGTGGGAATCATACTATGTCTGAGAATCCTTTTTTCATGTTGGATTAGATTATTGTAGAAATAATTCAGTCAAAATATTTTTTAAAATATCTGAATCTTTAAAAAGACCTAATTTTAAAAGTAACTGCTTTTGGCCTTTTTAATAGTTCTCTAAGGTAGGGAAACGGACATCTTCTGCCCTGTTTCATGGATGACAGTGATTTGCCCATGCTCCCATCAAGCTGAGTTGTGGAACTTGAGATTACAAAGGATCTTCTCACCCCCTTGAATGCGTCTTTTGTCTGTGCTTAAGTTAAGAAAGAATCTTTCCCAGTATCTTATCATGGTCAGTGATACCATTTTGTTGCAAGTGTATTACTAATAGGATAAATCACAACTGAACTCCACAGTATACGCCTTCAAGCTAAAGTGTGTAGAAGACTTACTTTGGGGGGCCTAGGACTGGGAGTGAACTTAATCTTTGAGCATCTGGTCCTCCTGGAGAACCATGTATTTACCTGTAAATAAATTATATAATGCTAATCAACTTTACTCTTTCAGTCAGAACACTTAAGACAGTAGCACTGGATGAATGTAAACAAGAGGAGCTACCATGAGAAGTGGAGACTGAAACATCAGATTTTACCCTGAGGTTCTCACGTCCTTGTGTACACTGGGTTCTGTCCTTTCTCTTACAGATGCTGAAAATGTCATCTAAGGAGAAATATCCCTTGTTTACTTTTGTACATGGACCTTCCAGAGACTATGATTTTACATCTACTACGGCCAGTGAAGAAGACCTTTTCTCAGAGGATGAAAAGAAAAAATTAAAAAGATTCAGCACAGAGGAGTTCGTCTTACTATAGGGACAAACACACACACCTGTGCTTGTTGAGGACTTGTTTGGGAGGCGAAATGAAGAATAGCAAGCACATTCGAAGCTGTTTTCACGAACACATTAATTTTATATGTTCTTTAAAAGGCATTTGGAAATACACAAGTTCAAAGATATTTTTCGGAAGTGACTGACTTTTGCTTCCTAATAAACATGAAGTGATTCTGGTTGCATCTCTGTGCCCCTGAAATCTGCCAAGGAACCTCCTCCTGGACTGCAAGCCCGTACCTTCTGCATCTCCTACCTGCTACCCTAGAGGTGTGTGCGAGGCCCCTGGAAGTCTGTGGTCGCCAGATAGTTGCAAAACCTCAGTTTCTGTTAATGACCAGGAGGCCAGAGAAAGAGTCTTCAGGGGTACATAGACTCCTGCTGTTCATGCAACTGGAGGACTCTTGGGGATGTACCCTAATAATTAGTACAATACTTGTTAGCTGTAACGTGCATATAATTACATAAGCAGGATTCTGAGATGATGCAGTACTTCGCAATGTGATTTTATAGTGGCTTATCATTACCCTTGCGGAGGCACTTTCTATGAGGAGTGGATATGAAGTATCAGCTTTTTCCACAGATTTAAAGGTTATGTTGTTAATAGTAGCTTCATCCATTCAAATCAGATAACACAAATATAAAATAGTAGTAGTGTTTGTTTCCTACCTCAAAACTGGAATTTTATGAGAATTCAGATTACGTAGTTCTAAAATCTGCAGATAAATACCAGGAAAGGCAGCAATAGAGTCTCCTGTGATTTTTGTTATTTGTCTAAAGCAGTGTAGTAGTGTTTAGAAGCTGAGGCCATTTACAAGGTAAATCTGCCTTGTGTGTTATGTGCTACTTAAAGGCAAATTTGTGATTTAAAATATGTTATTATTGAGCCAGGGTTATAAAAAAATACTTTAATAAAGACATGAGAACATAAAATGCCTTTGGGTTTCAATGTTGGGATTATTTTAATCCTTTTATTTGAAAAGTCATTATATCCAATGCAGTCTATATTTTTATAATGAATGCAGATAATGTTGTTGCTCTGAAAGCAAAATATTAACTTACTTTATAGAACATCTGTGTTTCAGTGAGGAAAGGTGACTCATAAAGACATCCAATTCCGTATCACCTGAAGTCATTGATCTTTTCCATCAGAGGAGCCTGTGTGTTTAGTGTCTTGTGAAGCTGAAACAGGAAGTGGACAGCCTGCTTGCTGTGCCTGAGAGAAACTGAACTTGTATTTCCTGGTGAGGATGATGCACTGAACTAGAATGGTCTGAAATCTAAAATTTTCCCTTCCCCTAGATAAAACTTGGACAGATTAAGCCCAACAGTATCCTAGAATGACAAAATAGTATAGGAACAAGAAGCCAGTGGTGTGCCAGGTTTTATACGCTTCGGTCCTCTTGTCTCAGCCATTGAAATTTACTGTTTGCACACAGCCGCAGTATTTGCAGGATTCAACAATAAACACATCAAATGAGAGCACTCAAACCTGCAAATGGATCTGAACTGATTGTAAGTGTTCTCTTTCAAGAACCATATAAAAGCTAAGAGTTACAGGATAGCCTTGTTATTTCCCCAGCTTGCTCAGAGATTATTTTTAAGTGGAATTTGGGGATGAGACAGAATTGCATGTGGACAAAGATAAGGTGAGAGGAGGCAGAGCTTCCTTTGCATTGAGTTGTATTGCAGATACTGAACATTTGGTCAGAATATTGACTAAACAGAAATGCATTGTTTTATAGTCATCCGTGTGACTGGGAATGAATAGAATCAGGAATCATTAGCATAATGCATGCACATAAAAGCTACGTGATAATATGTCTGAGTGAATGAATGTGTAGATGGAAATTGAGAGGGCCAGATCTGGTGGTACAGGCTTGTAACTCCACCTACTGGAGGGCCTGAAGTAGGAGGATGGAAAGGTGGGGCCATTCTGGGCAACTTAGGAAGGCCCTGTCTCACAATTTTAAAGAAAAGCGGGGATGTAGCTCAGCACTAGAGCACTTGCCACACATGTATGAGGACCTGGGTTCAATTCCCAGGACTGGAAAACAATTGAGAAAAGCAGATGTGTTTATTTTGCTTGCTTGCTAATTCAGTGTCATCTGAGGATAGCCAAGGGTTAGGCTAATCTTTCAGTGGAAGGCGGGCACAACACTGTCCCATTAGGTTTCGAACAGAGGCACTGTGTGTCCTGGTTTCAAGCTTTGTTTCAAACCCAGGTTCCATTTCAAGTTCAGAGAAGCGGTGAGCTCAGTCGCTGAAGACTGGATGCCTTCCAGCCCAGAGTGAAGGGGCCTCGTGGTCCTGTTAGAAGCGTGATGAGGTCCTCCATGTGGATGCCATTAAGATCCTGTGTTTTACCATTAACATTTTAGAAATGAGTTTTGAAAATTCTTGGTATTACTTTTTGACAGTGAAGATTTCTTTTGTCTCTCCTTCATAAGATTTGACACTTTGAATGCTTTTTTGTCAGTGTATTAATGACCGGCAGACAATTTTGAAAGTCATCATACGCTGAACGAGTGAATGAAAAGGTCTTTTGAACTGTAAGTATATCCAAAAAAGTCCCTGAGGAGTTCATTTTTTTGTTTTTATATTAAACCAAACCTATGAAATCTGTATTAATGAGAAGACAACTTTATCAGATTAAAAATGTAGGTCACTTTTGTGTCAGGGTTAGGCTGTAACACTTTCCAGTGGGAAACCCATTGAAAAGTATGTATGTTAATTCCAGCTTGGTTTTAGAGGAATTGAAGAAAAAGAACAACAAAAACGACTTACCTAGATGGTCTATCCAATTTTTGTCAGAAACTCCTACTTCTTCAAGCAGTCTCTAGGTATCATCTGTTATTGCATGCCACAAAGCATTTTATTTCTGGACACGTCACTTCAGTCCAGCCGTGTCCTCTCTTTTTCTCTGACTTCCTCTTTCTAGGAAGAAGTTTTACTTTTATGGTTTATCACAGATCACATTCCATGTTTTGTATTAAACACCTAAGCATCTTTTTGCTATGTTTTCATATACTGGAAGCATAGAAAACTAACAGATTTTTAAAAAATGGGAAACCAAGAGGAAGGGCACATAAGAGAAACAGTTTGTTGGTGCACATTAGGTACCGTGTGAGTGATGACTGAAACAGACTGAAGGTGAGGGAGAAGCTGAGAATGTACAATCCGGAAGTGGTGACGTGAAAGCGAGGTGCTCAGGACAATTGTCTTCTGAATTTTGTAAAGGATAAATATTGATTGTGGGTTCTTACCAGTCAATCATAATTTATAGTGCTGTTCACCTGAGCATTTGTGCTGGGGCCTCAGAACTGAAAAGGTGAAACTTCGTACCAGGATAAATTGGAAACATCCTATTGATTCTAAAATATAAATTTTATATCACTTTATAGTTTGAATCTTAAGTCAGTTTAAGAGTCTTAAGCATTTTTGTGTGGCTTTCATGGTTATTTAAAGACTTTCTCCTTGCCTATAAACTTTGAAAAATATTATACTTGGAGTTGGTATTGCAGACATTTCTGAGTTAGCGTTTCCCTCTTACTCTTTATGCTCTTCCTGACATGATTGGTGGCAAGCAATGGCTCAAAACATTCACAACCACAGTTATAAGATTACACTTTTCTCCCACAATGAGAAAAATATGTTAAATGTAGAGAATGCATGTTTGTTATTAGGTAGAAAAATCACTTTTTTTACTTTTTACCATGCTACCCTGTAGCTACTTCCTCCAGAAATTTACAAACTCAGACTTAGTCATAAACTCAGACTTAGTGTTCTGTAATTACCTTTCAAATTATTAAAAATTAAGTTAGTTACAAGTATGATAAATACATGCATATTTTATACTAAGATTAAGTTAATGAAAAATGACAGATCATGGATTTTAAAAATTGTTTTAAAAGCAGGAAAGGTGAAGTTGGAAAGCCAAAGAAGTCTGAAAAGAAAAGGATGGGAGAATTCTCAACAGCAAGTGTTGAGTGTCTAGGCAAATACACTGTCATAAACAGACACAGAGTTGCATGATTTAAAAGGCTTGCAGACTGGTGTGACTTCAGCATGGACGCAGGCACTGGTGGGCAGTGTGTGCCGGTGCTGATGTGGGGGGCCCTGCATCCCCTGCTGTGGTGTGCTTCTCCCTTGGGGGTGAGCTCCATGGCTTCTCACTGCTACTGTTCACCTGAGGCTTCCACTGTCCTCAGTACTTCTGTGCTCAGTTCACCTGTGCTAAAACAGAGCTGATGGGGTGAAGATTGGGTGCAGCAGGACGATTAATACGGTTCTTGGGGCTCGGATGTTCACAAGATGCTTAGGTTTTGGCAGTCCATGGTCAAGAGTGCAGTTGGAACAGGATTTTCGTGGAGAGATACCCATGTATATTTAAATTATTTCCTAAATAGACGTGATAGAAGTAGATTCTCTGGTACTTTTGATACTTGAACATGTTACTCTCATTTTTCCATAGTTGCGTCTGTGGTAGGTTCATATTGCATTAATCTGTAACGCATGTTCAGTAGTTTGACTTTGGCTTCCTGTTTGTGTTCTTCCCCACTTAGGAAGCCTCTCATATTTTGATGAGATGAGGCATTGTTTTGTGCCTCGGGTTTGCATGGGCTTCTTTCCTGTAACCTGTGACGAGTTCCGAGACACAACCCCTGTGCTTTGCTAGTGTTATTTTTTTTGGTGGGGAGGGTGCCAGGGTTCAAACTCAGGACTTTACACTTGCCAGGCAGGTATGGTGCCACTGAGCTGCATCTGTGGCCTGCTTTGCTGGTTTTATAGCTGCCAGCCTTTGCTTGTACCTAGAGATACTCATTTGTTTGTTTGTTTGTTTTTCAGACAGGTTCTCACTATGTAGTTGAGGCTGACCTGGAACTCACTATGTAGCCCAGGCTGGTCTTGAACTCACAGCGATCCTCCTGCCTCAGCCTCCCGAGTGCTGCGATTACAGGTGTGCACCACCACGCCCAGTGAGATACTCATATTTTTTATGTAGTTTGTTCCTACAAATACTTGAGACAGTTGAATGAGATGGAACCAAATAACAGATATTTTAAAACAGTATGATTCTTTCCCAGGGGATTTAAAATAGTATTGTAAAAATATTAAAAACCTACTTTTAATAATGTAATCATAACATGATCGTGGTGTGATATTTTGGAGATATTCTTTAATTTTTTTTCTTTTGTAGTGAGCATATAGTTGACAGGCTGAAAGCTGACTTTATATATCATCGCCTGTGCTTTTCACTAGGGCTAATGATTATTTCTATTTATGAGACTTGTATTTCTTACCACCAGTTTCCTCACTTTCATTTTTCTGTTTTTCCAACATATTTATAGAACAAGTGGTAATATAAAACCCAATAACTTTATATCATGCTATTTGAGTGGTGTAGGGGTGTTTGATTACATATGTGTAGTACCTATATAAGGCGAAAACAAGGTCTTTCTGTTATAGTCATCTGTTGGCTTTGCGTTATTGTAACAAGACACCTGAAATAATCAACCTCAAAAGATGAAAGCTTGTGGAGGTTCCAGTCTATGGTCCCTCGGTCCTGCTGTGGGCTGTGGTGAGGTGGCCCCTGGGCAAGTGCAGGGTGTGGCAGAAGAAACTGCTGGCTTCCTGAAAAGGAGGGCGGGGCCCCATCAAGGCCACATCCCTGTTGCCGGCCTCCACCCACAAGCCCACCTTCAGACCTTCCACAATTCCTGGCAGTGTGGTAGGCATAGCAAGCCTTAAACACACTGGCCTCTGGGGGACCCACCCAGACCAGGCCGTCCCGGTGCAGGGAAGGGGTAGCTTTCTTCTTCAAATAGCAGCTTGTTGAGGCATAATTCACCCACGAGAGACAGTGCACCTTTCTAAGTGTACCATCCACTGGTGTCAGTATAGCCACAGAGTTGTGAAGTGGTCACCACTGTGAAATTCCAGAACA